CGGATTGACGTTCTCAGCAGTTTGAACTCGAAGCATCCTTCAATCTGGAGGCAGGATACTAATAATGCACTCAATTAGACTAGGTAAATTACGCAAAAGTCTCTTCTGAGTCCAGTTTCTTCGATCCGCGGATAACTCGGTGGTTCAACCTGAATATAAAACTCAACCTCGCCCCGGTTCACTTCATTGTTTTAACATGGTATGCCTACTTTACAGCTCACAGTTATACCGACTTGTTGCTCATTGGCAGGACTTGCATCTTGACCGCCACGACCGCGAGGTTGAACTACTGCTTCGAAGTTCAACCACCCGGCCCAATGTGCAATTTCGATTTACCCAGGTCAGTCTATGTTCGTCTTTACCTACTGGTATCCTTCTTGTTTATTACAAATGGTGATGTTCCTGTATTCAACTTGATCCCGTCCAAACCGCAACGTTCTGGCATATTCTCCATGTAAACCATGTTCAACTCCGCCCACCCCTCGCAGCCAGCTCAACTTGTTCCCAGATGTCCATCCAAACACACAACCCCTTGCTCCATACTTTCTCCCTCAATTCCTCCCTCTCAAACACTGCGTTCCAGGACCTCCTAGACTCAGCCTGAGTTCAGGGGCCTACATGGACCTACACTGAGACCCACCTACGTACAATCTGCATAGGTTGATGTAGGTCTGTGTAGGTCAATGTAGGTCATTCAAGGGCAGCTAAGGTGAATTTAGGTGAATGTAGGTCCACGTAGTAACCTATACCAAGACCAATTATCACCTCCAACAACAGCCCAGTACTAGTATCGACAACCAATGCGTGCTACTTGGGGATTTTGCAATTGCAATCACTGCCCTCAAGGGTGGGATAGCCGCGGCGCCGGCTCGCCAAAGCTAGCCGCCCGCCTCAGGCTAGCCGATCAAACCACGTGTGGCTAGCTAGCTCCGGCCCGCTAACAAGCCATCAGCTAGCCCAAGCTCCGTCGGGATTGTACATGGGGTGGGAGTTCAACTCGCGTTAAGCAGGAGTGCAAGCAACATGTGCACGTACACTGGATGGCCCGAGAACGTCGTCGCATGGAAAATGATACAAAGTCGGCTATCGAAACACGCAGAGAGATGATGCCGTCGAAGGCTGTCGAAGGACCTACATTGAAGCACTGAAACAAGGGGACTATAGACATAATTGCACAAGAGTGAGGACTTGTTGGTACAGAATGGGAAGGTTGGGCTAGGTGAGGCGGGCCCACCTACCCATAGCTACCAACCGTGCAGCTAGGCAGACTGTCCATCAGCTAGACAAAGCTGGCGACAGGTGCGGCTAGCTGGCCGGCTAGCCGAACATAGCCTCAGCTGGCCGAAGCTAAGAATACCTAGCGGAGGCCCCAGCTATCCGGCGGCTGAATGCAGTGAATGGGGCCTGGCGGTATGTATGTGTTCGTTCATTCGACATTCCGCAACGTGGGCTTGAGTATGGGCTTATATCCTAAGCAGGTATTCACATGCTGGATACATGACATGGGGGGCAAAGATCCAGGCACACGATTGTTGTGTGCCTTGAATGCATATATCACGCACATGGCCCGGATTTAACTGTGACACGTCACTAAGGGCTTTGTTGGTTTTTTCAAAGTGCTTTGTGTTGTGTAGTAGCTATAATGTACCTAGTTAGCAGGAATCTGAGATTTATTTTCAACCTTGAGTACGAGTCAGCTTGGTAAACTGGGTTCAGGGTTTTTTTTGGCTGAGCCGCGACTTGGCCGTGGATCCCACCGCAGCTCTGCCACCTACTAGGTACATAATAGCTACTATTCAGTCAATCAGCAACACAAAGCTCATAAAGAGCTTTGAAACAACCAACAAACACCTTTGTGACAAGTCACAATTATTTCCGGGCCATGTGCGTGATATGTGCATTTAAGGCACACAACAATTATGTGCCTCGATCTTTGCCCCCCGTGTGATGGGTTCACTTCCATCCATTCAACTCAGCCTCGATGCATGCCGAGAAGCCCGAAGCAACATAGGTAGATTCGTAGGTATGCAGCTACTCAATTTTCTGACGAACCAGTCGGTTATTGAGTAGTCACAGAAGACGTGTGTGAGTGACTTAGGTTTATTTGAGCGGGAGGATGTTGCAGTTTAGGATTGAACAGGTATACAAGAAAAGAACTACGCACCGCATCTGAAGGAAACGAGGGTAATTGCCAAATAAACCAAGATAACCCGTGGATGTGGATGGGACCATGGAGAAGCTCACGAGTCCTTCCCCTCAAGTTGAATTATGCGAAGGAAGTGGGTGCGTACGCGTGAGATTCCCTTGACATCATCTAGGATTTATACTTGAGTCAAAGGGAGATGACGGTGAAATGGGCAAGATGCGCTGACAGTGAATTGAGGCTAGCTAAGCTAAAGTATGGGCTAGCTTGAACACTAACACACCACACCAATCCCCTTATGATTATAACACTAAGACTAGCACATCTTCCTAGTGAGTTCGGGTCCCGAGTCGTAGTATGCGACTGCTGGTTTGAATCCCTAGTGCACTAGCAATGATTTATGGCCTCAACTATCCCAACAAACAACTCTAATTTTTGAGCTAGCTCAACCGTTTGACCGAAACAAGTCTTTCCAAGGGATTGGAATGAACGGGTTGGGGTAAAAAGGGTTTTTACTAGGCAGACATAGATTGCTACGACGTCCTAGGCGAGGTGATAAAGTGTCTTCTGAAAACTTCCAGTTACGGACTATGCTGCGCCAGCTATTCTCTCCTCTATGACAATCCCAGATCAACAGATATTTGGGTGCCGATTTAGAACCTTGAATCTAAGCTCTTTTCCTTAACACTTGGGCTTATAATGGACCTAGAGGGTTCACTCAAGCTTCGTTAATCAGCCAATGAATCGACCATGGAGTTCTACCAAAGTGCTGTGCTGGTCGTGGTCCGTTTTACGGGAGGTGTTTCCTAGTCACCCAATGCGTAGCCCTTGCGAAGTCCACCACGAAGTCAACAACAACTCTCAAATGTTCTCTTTGTGCGCTCGGTCCCGATTTATACGTGGAGGTCGTCGCCGCTCACAAGCTCCCAACGTGATTCTTTGCTTATCAGTTCACACAGTTACTTGTGGATCCAACAACACTGATTCGATTTCTATAGACTTTTACAAACGAAGAAAATACTTTATCTCCGCTAGCTAGGCCTGAGCACACCCTTATCGTCGCAACGATGAGCGGGGCATGAACTGGTCTTTCAGCGGTATTTACATGTCCTTTTTATACTAGTTGAGAGAAAGAGATGAGGTAAAGCTAGCTGACTGTCTAGCAAGCCTAGTGCATGATAGAACCGGCTAGCTCGCCATAGGGGAGCTGCACGGACCAGTTTTGGACTCTTTTTACTCATTTCACTGACCATCTTGGGGGTGTAGGCGGGGTGTATTGCCAATTCTGTTGAAACGGCGCAACAACAATGTACCGACATCTAGCTGCATTTTGCGATTTTTAGCGCTAGTTAAATGCAAGGCATACTAGGCTTCAAGTTGTAACAAGCTAGCTTTCTAATAGGTGCAATATTCCTATTGGGACTCTGTTTGGTGATACAAAGGAGGGTCAGAGTGAGCTCCGGCTGCTAACTGTAGTACAAACTTAGTGCTAGGCGCGTGAACAAGTGTTACACTAGGGGAGTATACGCATTAAGGAGGATTACTATGGTCTAGTACCTCGTAGTGTGGGCTAGCGCGCCAATAAACGACTTCTAGAGAGCACAGGATAACGAGAGTTACCAGCTAACATAAAGAGGAGAGACATACGAATAGCTGGTGCGCTGCTAGCGGGATAGCACTGGGCTAGGGGCCACATTCCATAAATAACTTGGTGCTAGCTTTGGGTTTATCGGGCCAGCTAGCGATAGCGACAGCTAGGAGAAACTGTCGGCATAAGAATATGCCGAGTGATAGATCAGGTGATCGACGCGACGCGTTTGAAGGCAGCTAGCTGCACCAAACAAAATCAAAGGGATGTATTTCAGGAGAGATGGCACAATGTCTGAACGACTAGATGTTCAGTCCGTGCGGAGACGGAGGATTAGTGAGCAGGCGACGGCGGGAATGGTATTTCCGAGTCGTTTGCAAATACAGAGAGTCCGGGAGCTGTAGAGCTGTACGGAATTGGCAATATACCCAGCCTAGGCCCCAAGATGGTCAGCTAGCTGACTGTCTGGCAAGCCTAACGCACCATAGAACCGGCTAGCTCGCCGTAGGGGAGCTGCACGGACCAGTTTTGGACTCTAGCGCACCAGCTATTTGTATGTCTCTCCTCTTTATGTTAGCTGGTAACTCTCGTTATCCTGTGCTCTCTGGAAGTCGTTTATTGGCGCGCTAGCCCACACTACGAGGTACTAGACCATAGTAATCCTCCTTAATGCGTATACTCCCCTAGTGTAACGCTTGTTCACGCGCCTAGCACTAAGTTTGTACTACGGTCAGCAGCCGGAGCTCACCCTGACCCTCCTTTGTATCACCAAACAGAGTCCCAATAGGAATATTGCACCTATTAGAAAGCTAGCTTGTTACAACTCGAAGCCTAGTATGCCTTGCATTTAACTAGCGCTAAAAATCGCAAAATGCAGCTAGATGTCGGTACATTGTTGTTGTGCCATTTCAACGGGCTGATGAATATTCGAGCCTCCCGATGACTCGTCCAGCTTATTGTTTCTGACCAGCGACATTGCGGAGAAATCCGCTCAGTAGCATTCAGACTTGACTAGTATCATACTATGCGACCATGTTCTTTGTTTGGTCGATTCGATGTGGGATTGGAAGAGCTAGAAAGATTCATCTTGAAGAAGAATAGGAACAGCCAATTACATGGACGGATACATATGCTGTGAGCTGTCGCTTTGTGATGCGCTCTGAACACGCCAAACGGAACGTAAAAGACAAGCCTTCATGATTGCGACTCTGTATCCAAGAATATGATGATTTCCGCACCTCTGAATAAAAAGACTCACACCATTCCACAAGGCCAGACCCCGAATCGAACAGAGACCTTACAAGGAAACATTGCAGGTGCTGTATTTATCTCACATGCATTACCACTCTGCCACCTGGCCGTGATTAGGATGAAGAACCTCGACAAACGGATGAAAAATGATATGGACCTGAATTAAAAAGGCCAGACCCCGAATTGAACGGAGACCTTGCGAGGAAACGCTGTGGTGTCTGTATTTGTCTCACATGTGTTACCATTCCACCACCTGGCTGTGATTAGGACGGAGAGCCTTGACAAACGGACAAAAGAACGAGACGGACCTGAATTAAAAAGTCACAACAAATGGCCAGACTCTGAATCGAACGAAGAACTCGCAGGGAAATATTGTTGAGCGGGGACTCATCCTGCATGCGTTGCCACTACGTCACCTGGTCGTGATTATGCACGAAGAGCTTCGACAAACGGACAAAACGATACGGACTTGGATGGAAATAAAAACCTGACTTTCGCACCCAAGGCCAGACTCCGAATTGAACAGAGACCTTGCGAGGGGACATTATTAGGTGTTGTATTTGTCTTGCATGCATTACCACTCTGCCACCTGGTCGTGATAAATCTGCAATGAAAGAAGAAGCAGGACGGAAGGACACTTAAATTCAATACGGAGACGGATCAACGGCGGGCCGGCAGACGGAGTGGGTTCTTGGGAAACGGGGTGACCAAACAGGAAACGGAGTTGGCACGAGGCAAGTCTGAGTCCACTGTCAGCCCCTTCAAACATAGGGAGTGCATGGAGATTGACACGGCGAGTCAGAATGGAAATGAAGGAGGGCTCCGTTTCCTAAACAAGGAGTTATTACGCGTGCGAGTATCAGATGGAGATCTGTATAAAAGCCAGCTGTATGATACGGAATATTATCTTATTACCTCCCACTGCATATACCTAAAGCTACTCCCCCTGAAGTACACCAGGCTGGGGAACTAAATTAAATATACTCCGCTACGGGTTGTGCCGCCCAATAGTAGGACAAACCAAGGTCACCTAAAAGGCCAGGGCTTGTCAAGAAACCCCATCTGTCTCACCTCTATTTCGATAAATTGATACAGAGGAAATATAGTCAATCCGGAGTTGAAAGCGCGCGGTAGTAGATTATGCGGCACACCACCAAATGGCCAGTCGCCTAACTTGACTTGGTGCAACTGTTTCTTTTCGGAGTTCGAACACATATCCTTGCGAGGAACCTACCACACTGTATACGGAAGGCCTATCCTACATGATCATACCATTCCCCCAATTCAATTTGCACACTTCACCCCCGAGTCTTTGAAACGGAAGTGACTCCGTTTCAAGGTGTTCACCAACAGAGAAACCAGGCTACGAAGGGAATCACTATAACCGTCCGTATAGTGTTACACTGTACTAAAGAGACCTGCCGTCTGATACGCTCGAGTAAGTTATCAGCTTAATGAATTATGCTAAGTTGCTTCTTGAGAGGATTGAACACGTGACCTCTAGGGTCGGCCCAAAATACAGAATTTTGAGCACTAACTAACTGAGCTAAGAGACTACATAACTTGGGGGAAACAATTCCCATACATAGGCACCCTCCTTGTCTCCAGGCCAGTTACTCTTCTCTGAGCCCAGCCTGTTGGCATTCACACGGTGCATCCAGATATCATCTAAATCTAGGTTGAGAGCCCCCAGTTGGGATTCATCCTATGTAATAGGTTATAAAAATTCAACCTATAGTCAGCCTACAGTCAGTTGGATGTAGGTTGAACAACGGGTTTCATCCTACAACAAGTTGAATTTCAGCCTAAGCTAGAGCCTCCATAGTGCTGTAAGTGCTTGGGATGTGAATAATGCTCCATCTATTCTGAAATATTTTTTACCTGGAAAAAAAAATCGAAGGCATGTGAAATATTTGTATATGCTAAAAATAGACCAAAACCAAGGTTGTAGAGCTTGAAGAGAGCTACAAAAGTCGTCCCTACCACTTTTCGCTAAACAGCTTGGTTGAAGCGTAAAACACAAAATGCTTTCTAACATGCAATGATTTTTAACGTCAGAACAACTCAAAACCAGACTTTCTGCAATTTCCCGGACAGTGAGATCTTCATAATGTTTGTTGAAGAGTGGACAGTTGGTCGCTGATCAGAAATTCATCTGCACCATATAATACCCCGTTGAACTACATAAACTACATAAATTCCGCGATAATTGCCCTCCAGGCAGAGCCTGGACACCCTCACCTGAATCGGTCTGAGCTCTGGTCAGCAACCATTGAATATATGACATAGACCCTTTTAATTGCAAGTTCATTCTGGCGCCCCCGCCGACATCACCAAAAATTATACTATACCACGGAAAAATTCAGAGAAGTTCAGAGAAACTGACAACTTCTGTGAAGCACTGTCCGAGAGCGGGGCAGACGAGGCAGGCCGGTGGTCCGGTAAATCAGAATGTCATTGTTCCATTTTAGGCCTCCACCTCGTCCATACCGCAGACCCCGTCAACACCGCATCCTTTCATAATACTATTCGAAAACCAGAAGTGGGCGCCGTACAGCGGTGATCGAACTCGTCGCCGATTTTGTTCAGGTACGTGCACTCACATGAGGAAGCAGTGTGTACTGCCTCCCCGAAGCAGATATTAGAGAGAGAGATAGGATGGTGGGGAGTCCGATCCTCGTATAAGTCGTTGTATCATGTATTGGGTAGAAAACTGGTCCTATGTGTCTGCGGGGCAGAGCTGCCTTCTCCCATTATCGGGTCGTCAAGCCTTGTTCACGTGCTCGAAGCGACAAGGAGCTGACTGAGACAACAGCTGCCAATCAACTTCAACTGGAGAGTCAATCTGCGGGGAGCGGAGATGAGCATCCTTGTGATCTATCATCGTGAGCAAGAGGAAAAGTATCACGAGAAGTCGCGGGCAGTGGCGGGGGAACATGAGGGCAAGAAGAAAGATCTAACAACTGTTTGTCTGTGTATATTCTACACAATCAAATTTTAAGATATAAATCCCACGCTACATAGTACAAAAGGACATCTCACAGATGACCCACCTGAGGACAAGCTCGCAGTTATATCTATCAATGTGAGCTGCTTCTCCGATGCTCAATGTACTGCTATATCTCACTTATTGACGCTGGCAGAATCCCAGCTGCTAACAAATGCACGTAGAAACATATATGACGATAGACAAAGATGATTATTACAGTACGAGAGGATGGGCAACACAGCATCCTCGGTGTCCGACAAGGACTTGGTCGACATGTTAACACAACTTAGTTGGCTCTCCAAATAAGCAGTGAACAGTGTACAGCAACTGCGGCAGTTCAGAGGTTAAGTTAAATGGAAGGAACATGAGGGTGAGAAGAGAGATGCATCATGAACAAAAAAATATGTGCTTTGACTTATTTGTCCCTGTATGTTCCACATGTTTGTCCTTGTATGTTCTGCACGATCAAATACAAACCACTTCAATCATTTTCTGCTAAAAGTTTACCCGCCGGATATAAGCCTATAAAAGGTAATTTCCTTTGCCAGAACACTTACGTGTCCAGGCACTACATAGAAACCCCAAACTACATAGAGTCCCCTCAAACTATGTAGAATTACATAGAACTACATAGTTGAGCTGAAACTACAGCCAACTACAGCCAACTACACCAACTACAGCAAAAAAGAGGTTTTGCTGATGTAGTCCCCACTTCCAACCCACCGACGTCGATATCTCGATATTTCTGTCCGGTACATCAACTCCAAGTTCTCAACGTTAATCTGGACACCTTCAAACACTTGAGTCCTCTTTGAGCCTTTCTCCACTGACTGAAAACTCCTGTGGACCTTTTCTCACTTGGTCTTTCTCGGTGCTTTCCGAATCATCCCGACTCAGGCCTCATCCCCTATTCATCCGTTTTACATGTAAACTCCCATCTTGACCGCCAGGATTATGTGTCCTTCCGCACATTCATTCTCGGATGATCAAGGTCATTCATTCAAATTAACTTGCCCACCGGCAACACTCCAACATTCTTCCAGTGTAATTTATATTCAACCCCCGTCTCCCCTCAGACCCAATCCAGCTTTGCCGGAGATATCCATCCAGAACGCATTTAAATGCAATCGCTAGACGAATACAATGATCCTCGTTTTCCCGCAAGCTTTCCTTCACCCACTGACCTTCCGTCTCTCCCTTTCAGAAACAGCGCCGCAGAATGCTGAATATATGTGCATTTCTTTCAATAGCTTCGCACAAGGACCACATAAACTAATAAATGAACACCTTTACTGGCCTTCAAGGACTCTCAGCATCCACACTAACCAGCTCTATCCTCAGCGGCTTGAACCCGGATGTCTTTGATGGAATTCCCACGCAGTTGATCTTGTGTTGGACCGGGTAAGCTTTTTATTTCGCCTGCACCTGAGGTGCATAGTTTGTTGCGTTTGACTCTGTTCATCGGTTTGGAGTACGTTGGATGCTGCCATGCGCAGAAAAACACTTACCTGAGCCTAATTTAGTGCTGGAAATTGAAGTGAAAGTTACTTTACACTCTTGGAAGGTGCATTCTTGCCCCATGTCTCAAAATCAATGCCCATATTATTTCCAGCGATTTGGCGTCGTCGCACGATTTGAAGTTCAAAATTAAAACTCCGCCATCAGTTTCGGAAATTGCCGTTTGAGCTCGAGCCCACCGAGCCTTAGGGGCCAGGGAAGAGTTGGTTTAGTTACACTGGAGTATAATCGTGAGCTTATAATCGGTTCACTTAATGGAGTAATACTGGCTGAAAGGAAGGATTTGGGTAGGAACCGTCTCACGGCCGTCACGGCCGTGTTTCCGCGGTTATTCACGGCTCGAGTCCGTGCCGCCCAGTGTGAATCATGTTCAACCACCCATCCTTCAAGTTCCCTCGGACCCTTCACCTTTATTTCACCAGTGTTTAATCCATCCATAAGGCATTCAGATACAACCCATGTACGCCGCGCCGCGTACGTGCGTTGCCTTTAATTTTTGATACCTACCTTCGCTCAAATTCCCCACCACATGGATGGCTCACTACCCTATCCTTACACCACTCTGCAGCGGCGCACGTGAATCCGGCTGTAAGTGGAAGTGCAAATTTATTATTTGCGGTTGCCGTTGGTTGGAGTATGCCTTGGTCCGGTTCAACTTTTACTCGGGCGACGTAACCTCAAGCTGGTGGTCCGTCTAGAGCAGCAGTTTTTGGGCCGAGTCCAGTTCGCTTGCCTGGCTCCCTGCCGCTTGA